ATATATAAAATAATTAAATTATATAACTAAAATAATTATTATATATAATATATAAAATATTTATATACTTTATATAAATAAAATATTTATTTTATATATTTATTAATTACCTAAAATAATTATTTGGTTGAATTCAAATATTAATTTTCAATATTTATCGGATATCGAATCGAATTCGGATATCAGATTTTCTAATTGGATTTGAATTTGGATATTGCTTGATTCGATTCAAATTTAATCCGAGCTAGGCTACGAGTCAGGCCTTGGGCCTCGATCAAATTAGGTAGGATTGTTTTTTTTCGACATTTTAATTTTTTTTGCTAAGTAAAACTAAAATACTTAACTTTCCTATGAGAACAAATTGAAAAAAATAAAAAAATCTAAAAGAAATAAGAAAATACTTAACAATATACAAAATGGCCAACAAAGTGGAAAAATGGGAATTTTATTTCATTTGAATTTGATAAATACAATGGTTAATGGATGATGAAATATGGAAAATGGAATAAAATATAAAAAATATAATCCAATTATAAATTGATAATAAAAAACTACATTGTTGAAAAAAGAACAAATAATTTACACAAAACTCAAAACCAAAATTTACAATAATTTTAAAAAATGCTACACAATTATTGAGTATACAAAAAAAATATTGACTTCATATTTTTTTTTTCAAGTTTCACTTGTATTTCCATCTCCTTGACTTTGATCATTTACTTCAAGTGAAACATCATGTGTATTGTCATGCCCTCCTTTGTCTTGTAATYTATCCTTAGCATCTAGACTTTCATCACTCATGCAGCTTCTCCTATCGCCCAGCACTTTAGTACCTACACTAATACAAGACTTTGATAGAGCTATAGTAGATAAGGTTCCATTGCAGCAAAGACTAGATAATTTTTTTCATGTCCACTTCACTAGGCTAAAATATCAAAATTATTCATTTTCTCTGAGTTGAAGGAATCACCTAAACTAGAAAAATTTTCTAGTAAATAAAAATTAAGTTCAACAAGTGAACTTGTTGATGAAGTGGCACCGGATTTTTGCCTCCTACTTATTAGAGACCGGAAATTTTCTTTTCCATTAATTGTACTAGTTGTTTCAAAAGTGGAAGTTGCACCTATACAGGTTGTAAGTTTCCTATGCSCTATCATTTGAGATTCATATAAACTACACATTTTAAGTAATAAATTACTATTTTTTTTATTTTCAATTTTAATATTCATATTTTCATAATAAGATTCAAGTAAAACATCTAAACCATCTTTCCTAATCTTAGGATCTAATATTGTAGCTAAGAAATAAAGAGGAGAAATGTTCTTCCAATATTTTTCAAATTTATTTTTCATTATTTCAACAATAGTTTTAAATTGTGAAATTTTTGTATATTTTGCAAAACCTTCGCTAATCATAAATTCATTAGTTTCGTCATAAAATTTTTGTAAAATATCTTTTTATACAAATTATCATTTCCTAGTCTTCCTTAAGTATAATATCATGCATTTTTGCATTATAAAAATCAGTAATAATTTGCTTGTAAGAAATACAACTTTATAACATAGAATAGGTAGGATTCCATCTATGTTGAACATCTAATACAAAATGTTTATATTTTAAACCATAATATTGACATAAATATTTAAATTCTTGTTTTCTTAGTTCAAAACTTTAATATATATATATATATAATACAATTTCTAATATTAGAAATATAATGAGAAATAATATTTAAAGCTTCCTGAATACATAAATTTAAGATGTGACATGCACATCTAATATGAAATAATTTATCATTTAAGTATGGTTTTAATTAAGATTTTTATATATTTATTATTGAATCATTATTAGTAGCATTATCAAAACTAATAGAAAAAAGTTTATTTTCAATTCCACAAGCATGTAAAGTATTTAAAATACTTGAAGTAATAGCTAGCCAATATGTGCCCATTCAAGACTAGTAAAACTTAAAATTATTTTTTTGTAAAATCCAATATTCATCAATAAAATGGTTGGTAACACAAATATAACTGATATTAAATTTAGAGGTCCAAATATCAGAAGTAATTACAACTCTAGAATTAAGATTCGATGAAAAAGAAATTAAGTTTTGTTTATATGAATAAAAAATTATTAAAGCATCTATTCTAATAGTGTTTCTAGAAACTTTTTTAAATTGTGGATATATAGAATTACGTAAAAATCTTTCAAGTTTAGTATCTTAAGTTAATAAAAATGGTTGTTCAGCATGTACAATATATTTTGCTAACTCTTGCCTCATTTTTTCTTGAGAATATTTGTAACTACTCAAAACCCCACACCTAATTTGTGTTTGTGATGTTTCTTTCCCTTTTTCTTGTTCTTCTTTCACATGGGAGAGCAAACTAGGCTACTCAACTTTCTCTATGTTGAATATTTTCTAAATTGGGCTACTCAATTTAGTGCCATTATTTTTCTTTTCCCTAGTAGCAGTACTAGGGGTGGGAACTCCAACAATATCAATAGTATTCATATCGGTGCTAACACTATTATGTTGCAATTGAACATAGCATCATTGACATTAAACATGTTGGGGAATTGGTTTTGAGAGAGGAGTATTCCATTTTTTTTTTAATTCTAAAAAGTAAAAATGAATTTAATTGCACTTACCTGAATTGTTGATTCAAAATCTCAACTTGATTTTAACAGTTGAAGCCTCAAAGCCTCCCAAATTGTTAACTTGAGATACTTGAGCAAGCCTATTTATTGAAATTTGAATAAAGTTGAGAATTGGAGAGTAGAGAGAGGGAGTATGAGATTGTATGTATGTATGAGAGACAGAGAGTATGAGAATTGGTGTGATGAGAATGGTGGAGGATATGACTATTTATAGGAATTAAAAATAATTTAATTTCCCAAAATRCCCAAAAAATTAGTAATTTTTTAGTTATTGGGAGGGGTATTTTGATCATTATAAAGTCATTTATCACTTTACCCAAATGCCCCCAAACTAGTTGTTAAATAGTTGTTAGAKGGCCATTGTTGTCATTTCTCTTTCCCCCCAAAGCCAAAATACATAAATACCCTCTGTATAGTTGTTTATAGGTATTGGGGGGTATTTCTATAACCCTCCCAAAAGGCTTAAACTTGTTGTTGATGGTTTTCTCAAGTGGACCGTGCTTGGTATGGTGCAGGCTTGCAAGTCATGCCACGTAGGCCATGTCGGCATGTAGGCCGCGAGTGGTATGACCCAATTTACACCTCTAGCTAAGCTTTAGGCCTATGGCACAAAAAATAAGGCATGAGCCTCATTTAACTGTTGTGTTTGATTTGGCTTGGTTTAGTATCCTTTTATAGATGAAGGAAAGACCTTTCTTGAGCAATGTGGGACTAGGAACAACACTAAATAATTAGTGCAACCATTTAGTGTTTTTTGGATTCAGATTTGGTCCTCACAAAACCGTCTTATTAGCACCTCACAGTTGCGTATTGGGAATATCTACGTATACTTTTATGTTTTTATTTATGGGGAGATATTCACAATGCACAACTGCAAGTGACTTTGAGGACCAAATCCAATTCGTGTTTTCCTAAGTCCCACATTTCTTATGGAAGGACAATGAAGATTTTGCCTTCATCTATATAAGGCCTTACTTAGGAGGACAATTCTCATATTTGAATTGACTCAAGTGTTGACACATGTGCTGACATGTATCAATTCATAAATATTTATTTATATATTAAAATAAAACTTAAAACTTTTACATTTAATATAAAATAAGATATACTTATGTATATATTACATATAAAATATAAAACATATATGTTATATAAAAATATGAATATTGAGTTTTGGTTTTGTTAACCGCACCTTTCTGTTTGGTTTTCTTGATTCAGTTTGGTTTTTCATTTTTTTATGAACACCTATAGTTTATGGTGCATGGTACCATGCATTTCATAATATAGGTGAGAGCTAAATCATTTCCTATATGGTTCTTAAAAACTTAATTTTGAAATTATTTGGATTCTATTTGAAAATAAAATTTTAAAAGAAAATAATAATTAAAACATAATTTTATTATTTTCGGACCAAAAGACGTAATTTTCTTATGGAAAAATCTATGCTGATCAAAAGACATGATACTAGAAGGGGTTTTACCCCACCCTGAAATTCATAAATAACCACCTAATTAATTACCACATTTTTTTATACCAGTTAATTGGTTACAATTTTTTCTGGTATCATAGTCAAAACATTTTTTTATCTTTGGAAACTTAATAGATGGAAAGAAAAGAGGAGTCTATGTATAACTTTTCTTTAAAAACCCAAGAAAATTGTTATTTAAAATAAAGGAAATCAGTTGGGTATGATACAGAAATGAAACTGCACTTGAACCGATTAAACATAACCCAAAAAAAAATTTTAATTGAGTTAACAACTTGACAAAGCCTGTGCATTGCACAGGTCCCAACTAATTAATTATCAGAGGAAGAATGTTTAAGAATTGTGTGGTCAAATGGTAAAACCTTGGGATTATGAGTGTTTGATTGACAATTTGAATTTGAGAATGGCTCATTTGCTTAGGAGAGGGTTTTATTGTGAATGTGATTTTATATTTTGAATTTAAAAATTAATATGAGAAGGGAGGTTAGGAGAGGAGAAGGAGGCCCATGTGAGTGTTGAGAACAAAGCCTCCCTATATAGTAGTTGAACCTAACCTTATATAGATACAGATAGATCTGTACATGTAGCCTCCCAAAAGATCAATCAAACAGATCCCCATTGCTTGACAACTCTTTTATATATACCCATTTAAATTATATCTCAGCTGCAGAATTAATTAACTACTCCTAGCTAGCTACTAGCACAWTGTTAATTAGTGGATGCATATTTTTAGTTAAACAAGACATTCAATCTGTGGGCCTTAATTTAAAGATTGGACCTTCCCGATCTCCAACTAATAACATATATAGCTTACATCATCTTGAATAAGTCCAGGACTTGTAATTAAATAATTAAATAAGCCAACATTGTTGCTTGTTATTTGTCCTTGAAAAAGAGTAAACGACTTGTTTACAATCTCTTGCATGAAATTCAAAAGGATTACTACAAACCCAATGATGCGGGTAATAAGATCTATCTTCCCCTGAGAAAGTTCCTGCAAATCTTCTCCCATGTCTTCCTATCTGGTTCAGCCACCTCAAGTCTTGATTTTGTGTCTTCAGCGAACTCTTTCTGAAAAAATAGTCAGCCCAAGATTAGATGACATAGAGAAAAGAAGCAGAAGAAGAAGCTTCGGATTACCTCTATCTTGTTGTTTTTGACAAGACGATCAATGATGTCATATAGAATGTCTTTGGTGTATTCTGGGTGACCTTGAATGCCTAATATATGGTCTCCAAGAGTGAACATCTCTATTCTTGTCTTATCTGAGGAGGCAATCAACTCAGCTCCAGCAGGGATCTCCCATACCTGATGCTTACATTCAGTGCATAGATAGATAGATAGTATAGAGAGAGAGAGAGAGAGATACCTCATCTTGATGACACTGGATGATGGAAAGGAATGTTGGGATTTCTGTTAAGCAACCAAAAACAGTATGTGCTTGCAAATCCTGCATCAGCTTTACTTTCCTCAACCCAATATCCCAACCAGTATAAGACCTCCCTACCTTCCCACCCAAAGCTCTGCACAACACCTAAAAGTAAATAGCAAAATATGAACGAAAGATAACTAAAAATCAGTAGGAAAATTAAATTTGATTACTTTCTCTAAGAGAATAATAATTAAAAGAATAATACTTGGTGGCCAAAACATATTCCAAGCACTTCCTTCTCCATGGCATACAGATTCTGCAACAACAAGCAGAGTTTCAAGATCCAGGGATCATTTCCATGAGCATCAGAAGGGCTCCCACTAATCACAAACCCATGATACTTGTGAAGCTCTTCTTTGTCTGGAAACTCTCCATCTACCACCCTAAACAAGTCCCACTGCTCTCCTTCTTCTCCAAATGCATCAACAAACACATTGTAGTACCCACCATACACTTTCTTCACATGATCAGAATCTCTACCTGCTAAGAATAAAGCAAATCTCTTCTCCCCAACAAACTTCATTTTCAGAGAGAGAGAGAGGGAGAGGGAGGTTCTTCAATAGGAAAGGGGAAATGCAAAGGAAAGGTAGGAAATTTGATGGGAATGAAGGAAAGGTGGGATGAACCCTTTTGCAAGGGATTGAGAGCCCTAAACAACGAAGAGGAGAATGAATCTGATTATGCACAGAGGACAGCAGGTTGGGAGCCATTTATAGGAGAAGATGGTTTCATGTCTTCGGTCAACTTACGCAACCATAATTCTCTTTCCTCCCGAATTCCACTATAAAAAAGCTATCAGTTGTTTATCATGTTTCAAGGAACTTTTCTATTAAGCTTAATTACTTGGCTAATTATTTTAAACTATTTTATAGTAACCTCTTGGGTCTATCCCACCATTTTGTCTACCAGCTGTTTGAAACTTTGTTTCTTCTCACTTTTTTTTTTTTTTTACCAAATTGCCTAAGGCTGTATTTGGTCTGTCAGAACATTAATGACAAGGGGATTTATGGGAAAGTCTTCAAGGCACTTCATGAAATTCTTCAAACAAAACTTTTCCATAATTTTCATTTTTTTTTCTCTTATTTTTCAGGGAACCAAACATGACCTAAGCTGAATCTTTACAGACTAGTTGTAGGAGTATTGACTTTAGGAGATTTTCAATCCATTCGGGTCGGACTCACCATGTATCCTTACACCAGAGCCCATACATCAATTAAAAAATTGACATTAAATGAGGATCTCTAACCAGAGAAGAACAATTCATTCCTTGGTTTGATCAGCCCAACACAGAAGCTTTCTGCAAGACCAAAATTAGAACAGTTTGGCTAAACTACGGAAATACCCTCTACCCCGTCAGACACGGATTGAACGAAGACTCTGAATTAAATAGTTTAAAAAAATTAAAAAATAAATAAAAAAATACAGAACAAAAGTGCATTGGTGTTTTCGTGGCTCACCAACTCGACAGGTACGGATCCAACTCTTTTAAACAGTAAAAGAACATAAATGGGCCAAATTCACTTACATAGAATCAAGAAAAGGATAGACCCAGAAGCGACCTGACCTAGCAATTACCAACCACCCAACTGTAAAACATTCATGTCAAATTGAAGAAATAAAGCCTTCCTGGCTCGTCTCATTGAACAAGGGGATGATGATGGTCAGGGGTGGCGATTGGGTTAAACCCGGTTAATGATCCATTGTAAAAAGAAAATAGAATTAAATGGGTTGAATTCAAATCACCCGACTGTAAAACATTCATGTCAAATTGAAGACATAAGCCTTCCTGGCTGGTCTCTTTCAACAAAGGGATGATGATGGTCAGGGGTGGCGATTGGGAATGTTGGGATTGGGTTAAACCCGGTTAATGATCCATTGTAAAAAGAAAAAAGAATTAAACGGGTTGATTTCAAATCAAATCTGTCTAACCCATTACCCGATTTTAGTTTTATAAAATAATAGCTTAAAAGTCAAAACCTCTTAAATAATCATTCCATCAAAAAGCTTAAACTTTTAGGAAAGGTCCCTCAATCCTTAGGCTTCAAGTGTAAACAAGCACAAGTTCATCCATACCTTTGTACTGAAATTTAATTATTTGTTAATGGAGTCAAACCCCAGCCGGACCATTTGGCTGGTGTTTGGCACTGATGCGTTGCTTCAGAGCCGTTATATGATAAAACGGTGTTGTATCTGTTGCATCGTTTTTTGAGAAAATGGTTTCTTTTTATTGTTTGGCATAGATGATGTTACCTAGAATATTTTCTGGGAAAAGGCACTAGTTTTATTTGGTAGCAATGCTCTATAATTGTTTTCAATATCGGTCCACATATCCAATGGTTTACATGATGCCATGTCATGGTACTGGTGACAGCAATGCAATAGTTCCAAAAATGAAAAAACATCAAATTTGATGTTTTTTCGAACCACACTTTCCCAAATTCCAATGCATGGCCATTTTCCGGAACAATGATTCTAAACAAAGGCTGCATTTCTTGGCACACCGTTTTTCTGATGTGGCACAGACGTGGAGCTTTGGAAGCAATGGCATTAATGCCAAACACCGCTTTGGTCAAACAGATTCCGATACCATCCCCAAGGGTTGATCAACCTAATAGCTTAAACTACTAATTAGGAGAGGTCCTGAAATATGTATTTATTCTATAATTCTTAATGATTTTGTCTTCAGAAAAAAAAATAAAGAAAACTAATTCTTAATGACTTGTCAAGACATAGCCTAATGGTCAGAATAGTTGTTGTTTTGGGTTTAAACCATATTATATGCACATATCTTTTACATGAAAATTTAAGGTTCCTTTATTAAGACACTCACGGTACTTTATCGTATTACTTAAAACACCCTTATAGTTTGCATACTAGTAGGGACCCCGAAACATGAGGTTTGCTAAGCGAAAGTTAAATAATATAAATACACAAAAGTATATAATTGGCTTATATTTTTAACATTTTAAATAATTAGTAATTATTTATATTTTGGGTTCGACTATGATATGAGAAAGATATGATATCGAAGTTTTTTTAACCAATCAACTGGTATGATAAACATGGTAGCCAATCAATTGTCATTTATCAAAATTAATGGGGGATTTTGATTGGTCAAAACTCTTTCGATACCATATCTTTACCGCATCATAGATTTTCCCTTATATTTTATATACTACTTTTAATAATTTTTTACAATACAAAAATAACAATAATTAATCTCATCTAGGGTTGTTCATCAAATTGATGAAACCGACCAACCCAAGTTGGTCGGATTTCTAGTATTTTCTATCAGTTTCAGTTAAACAATTTTCCAACTTGACCAAGTTGGATCATTTTCGCTTTGGCTATTTGTAAATCGACCAAAATCGAACAACCCAAATATAGATATATATTAATATTTTATATTTTTAATATAATTTTATTAATACGGAAAAATGGAAAAAGTACCATATTTCTTAGTCTAAAATATTTTAGATCATAAATTTAATTTTTTAAGTTTAAATCTTTTGAACCGACCGACCAAACTGAAAATTGACCCAAACCGATACAACCCGAGTTGGCCATTTTTCACTAGTGGTCAGTCAATTTTGGGTGACCAACTCTCTAACCTGATCAGGTTGATATGGTTGGCCAAACAACCTACAACCAAACTGAACCAACCCATGAACACCCCTAAATAACAATAGTTTCATCTCCAATAATTATTGAAAATTTATAACGAAAATGCAAAGTTATTGAAAATATATTGATAATGAAAATACGATAAATAATAAAAATGTATTTATCATAAAAAGAATAAATAGTTAATGAAAATACAATGAATGTTAATTTTAGAATATATATAAATATATAACAAATATAGATTAAGATTTTACATTTCTTATTAATAAATATTAATTTTTTGAAAAGATATTTTCTAGAATTATTAATTGATATAAGTGAAATTAATTGTTTAAAATATTATTTAGTTATTTAAAGAATATCAGTATTTCAATTTTAAAATATTAATTATTTATTGCATTTAATAATCTGTATAATTATAATTTATACTATTTGATGAGGGCAGATTTGGCCCTCCAATGAAATTGCGACACGTGGCACCTCGTGACAACTAGGCAAGCCCCCAGGCAACAACTTACCAAGTTGGTCCCCCCCCGGGCACCGGTCTGGCTGGCCTGGCGCGACCTG